GAGCCCCCGCTCTTCTCAGCTGCCACCATCCAGCCTGGCTGCAGCCAGGAGTGGGCACGTGCTCTGGCTCAGTGTGTGTCATGGGGACGGACCTTCCAGACCTGGCTTCGCCCGCTTTTACGGTTATGTCTGTCCTCGGGCCATGCGGAGCTCCAGGTGGTGGCAGAGGGACAGAAGTCACCCTCCTAGTCACATTTCCACTTACCCCAGGGCCACAGGTGTCTGTCCTGTGCTGCACGAGACCGTCAGCCCTCTCGCGGTACTTCAGCAATCTGGCATCGAGCGGAGACCCTGGCAGACTGCCTGCCAGGGCCGGCGAGTGCACCTGTGATGGGGAGACGGGCTGCAGCCCTCGGCGCTGGGCCCCACTGTCAGCCCCCGTGCAGGGCTGGGCGCAGTCACCAGCGAGGACCCGCTTAGCCTTGGCCTGTGTGCTCTGGGTCCAGCAGCCCCACCCCGTGCTGAGAGTGGCCTCCTCACCTTTGTCCACGTGGGTGGTCACGGGGGGCCGGGCCAGGGGGCCCACGCACCTGCTTGGCTTGCCAGCTCTTGCCATCCGTCCTTGCCGACCTGGACACGGTGCCCCCGGCTCCTCCCTGGTTGACCAGCGACAGGCCGTCTGCCCCGGGGTTTGTGGTGGTGGGAGGGCCGTGTCATGGGTCTTCCCGTCTTGCTTCCCTGGCTTCCTGCCCAGGGCTCAGCTGTGAGAGCAGGTCCCAAGACGTGGCCTTGGGGCTACCCGTGCCCGGCCGCACTCCGTCTGCCTGCCGTGTGCTGGGTTTGGCACGCCTGAGGGTAGCAGCTGTTCTAGTGTGAACTGGACGAGCGACGTGCTCTGTCATCTGACTGCTGAGATACGATGTGCTCTGAGCAGAGGCACGTGTCATTACTGCCCAGACAAGACGGCGACCTGGGCGTCCGGGCAGCCAGTCCCTGTGTCCCCGTCCCTGCTCTGTCCCCTGTGCCTTTGAGGAGCAAGTGGGTGCTGTAGCTGGCACCGCACTGCGAGCTCTGAGCCGGGTCCCGCTTGCCGTTGGTATGTGCTGCGGAGCTCCAGAGGTGGGCTGGCCCGGAAGAGAGAGGGCTGAGCTGCCTGGCCAACCCATGGGTCGGCCACCTCGGTGGAACCCTGGTGTCCTGGCGTGTGTGTGGGTTTTCCTTGGAGCAGAGCTCTGGGCAGTTGTGGACAAGGACTGAGGGAGAGGTACTCTCTGCCTCTCTCCCCCGCAGTGGCCTCGGGCAGCATGGCCGGCCGCCCTCGTCTCTCACCAGGCTGCTTCAGTCTGGGCTGGCCCACACAGAAGGGCTTTCAGCCAGAGGCCGCCACTAGAGAAGTGATGGTCACCTCAGGATGCATCTGCTTGTCCCACTGTCCTGGAGCCCCAGAGCTGGTCACTCCCACAGCCGCCTTGTCACTGGGCCGGGTCGAGCACCTGCCTGCTCTCAGGGCAGCTCCGCTCTGTGGCGATGTAGAGTGCTCATCCCCCAGGCCAGCCAGGCCCCAGGCCCTCTGCTGCGCCAGCCTCCAGCGTCAGCATACTGCACAACTGCCACCACGGCCTACCTCTCGGGAGGTGTTTCCGGAGAACTCGGCTCCCTCAGAGGCAGGTGTGAAGCAGGGGTGTCCTCGAGCGTGGCCTGACCCTGCCAAGATGGTGCTGCCTGCCTGGGGTGGAGGAAAGCTTGTCCACGTGGCCGGCACAAACAGGGCCCCAAAGCACCTGTTGGCGTTGGTGTCGGTGCCTGGATCGTGCACTGGTGGTATGGGGCTACTTCGTGGCCGTGGACTGTGTGAACCTCTGGCCTGCGTGTCACGAAGGGTGCTGCGTGCCACAGACTGAGCGCTGCTGGTGCGGCTTCCTCCCGCCGTGTTCCTTCCCTGGGCTCTCAAGGGCGGCTGGAGCGTGGGAAGGAAGCCCAGCCTTACTACGCTGGCTGCAGGGGCTCCTGATGCCACGTGCCTTACTGGTGGCCAGGTCACAGCTTGTTTCTGGCTTCCTCCCGGGGGTGGCTGTGTCCAAGCTGTCCAAGGTCAGCCAAGCGGATCGTAACGGCAGCAGGTATGTGTGCGTGCGAGGACACACCTGTGCCAAGTTGCAGAACTGGCTGAGGAAAGGGGGAAGATGGAGTGACCAGAGACTTACATGTGCCTGTCGGTGGGAGAGTCCTCGGGGCTGAGCAGGCACTGCTGCCTGGGACTCCGTAGGTGCAGCATGACCAGCCACAGCCCTGCGGGGCTCTCTCGGAGGTGCTGAGCTGGTTCTCGAGTTCACATGGCAATTTGGAGGGCCCAGGGTAAAACCACTTTGGAAAAGCAGAGCCAAAGTAGAGGGCCTTAAACACTTTGCTTTTAACGTTCCCTGTGAGCCCCATTGTGCTGGTGCGGTACGACAGCCACGTTGACCGTAGGCCAGAACAGAGCCCACATGGACCCACAGGTGGCTGGGCAGGCAACGCCTTTTGCTCTTAGTGCTGGGTGTCCGTCCTCACTGGGTTCCTCACGCTGGCCACGCCTGAGGCAAGGTCTGCAGGCCAGGCAGCACCAGGCGAGTGTGTGCTCCTCAGACACCTCCTGTAGCGGGCTTTGTGGGGTGGGCAACTGCAAACCAGCCTCACCCTCCACGTACCTGTGTGAGGCCACCCCAGCCAGCCTCCTGTCACAGAGCAGGTTGGCCTGCGCCTGTCCCGTCCCCTCCCGGCAGCTCTGGCACCTAGCAGATCTGGCCAGGGGTGGTGCTCGGTAGCTCTGTGTGCAGGGCTGGGCTAGCTTTTCTAGACCTGTCCCACGTCCATGTCCCGGGAACAGCGGCAGGCTTAGGGCCATCTGCGAGTCGGGTGCACAGGGACCACTCACCTTCCCCGGCCCCATCTCCTGAGCAGTGGGCCATAGGTCCCTGTGGGTTTTCACGGTTGCAGTCACGCCATCCTCAGGTGGGCGCGACCTTTTGTCTCTCGGCGGGAAACACACACGAGCATGGCAGAGAGGGATTGCTGAATCAGATTCTGGGGAGACCTCTTTTTCTTTCTTTTTTTCCCAATTGAAGGTTTTTATCACAGCACTCAACACAGAGCAAGTGAGTGAGAATCACTCTCCCAGAGAGGATGGCCGCACTGCAGTCCCTTCTCCACTCTCAGGATTCTGGGTGCACACACGTGTCGGGTGTGATTTTCAAGCTGCCAGTCTGGGGCTTGAACTGTGGTCGGACATGTGGGCGCCTTACCCATCCTGCTCCCTGCCAGCCCCGTGTGCCTTCTGATGGACAGCCATTTCTTTGCCTTTTCAATGTGTCTTTACTGATACGATTGCACTGCTGCGAGTTTCTTGCTGGCCTTCATCCATAATTTCCTTCTTTTTTTTTTTTTAAGAATTATTTTATTGGGGCCAGCAGGTGACATGGTGGTTGAGGCGCTAAACTCCCCTCCCACATGGCTGACAGCAGTTCGAGTCCCAGAACTAGCAGCTTGTTTTCTCTCTCCCTCCATGGCCACATGTGTCTTATACCAAATTTAAAAACGATAATAATAATTACTATTATTTTATTTAACTTAACTCATTTTTAATTTGACTGGTGTGGGGGAGAAAGCAGGCCGCCAGGTCCAGGACACGAACCACGGTCGGAGCCATGTGGGAGTCCAGTGTCCTTGCCACCTGCTGGCCCCTCCCTCACCCATCATTCCATCCGAAGCCTCTGGCGGGGGTGCAGACTGCCCTGGGCCGAGTGGGAACAGCTTCTCCTTGTACCTGACTGTTCTCCAGTAACACTCCTGTTCAGACCGTTCGCTCATTCTAAAACTTTGTTTTTTAGCCTCTTACCTTGCTGCGGACCTCAGAGCATCCCGCCCCGCGCTCCATGCTGGGTGCCTGCCCTGTCCTCCGCTCCCGCGGGGTGCCCACTGCCCACCCTGTCCTCCCGTCCCCATCCTCCGGTCCCACGGGGTGCCCGCTGCCCGCCCTGCCCTCCGCTCCCGCTGCTGGGTCTCTCCAGCCCACTGAGGGCGTCTCCCTTCCCTAGGCCTGTTCTGTTGCTGTGGTGACCCCAGGATTTTCTTCCCCTTGTTTTCCGTGTGTGGTGAATTAGTGTCTGGCGTTTCTCGGACTCCCTCTGATCTCTGTGGCGCATCAAGGGTAGCTCAGACCCTGCACGCACCCATGAGCTGTACCGGATCGCTGTTCTTTCTCCACGGTCTGGGTCCTGGCAGCTCAGGGAACGAGATAGGCCATGCCTTCTTCCTCTGGTCTCTGAGGGGTGCTCGGCACGCCCCACCCTGGGCCGGGGCTTTCGGTAGGCAGGTGCAGGATTGTAGGCGGGGGCTCCCACCCATGTCCCCCATTCCTCCTAGTCCCTGGACTGCTCCCCAGCGTGGGCCATAGCAAAGCTCACAGGATCGCGGGTGACGGGCTGCCTGTCCACGTCCCCGGCTCTGGCTCTGTCCGGCAGCCCCTCTCGGACTTCAGGCGCCCCGGGCCGCAGCATGGTCTGACAGGCCCTCCTCAGCGCCACGGTCGCCTCTTTAGCTCTCAGGTGTGAGGGTGCGGCCGTGCCCAGGCTGCTGGCGGAGCTGGCTGAGCCCAGGAAGGGGCAGAGCAGGCCCTCCCAGGGGCTGCGGAGCTCAGCCCTAAAGTCCTCGGAGCCTCTGTGTACTGGGGGCGTGGCAGCCACTGCCCGGGGAGGGGAGCCACACGCCCGGTGACCGGGTCCTCCCCATCAAACAGCTGGGCAGGAGGACCTGGCCACCAGCCCTGCCTACGTGTGAGGAGCGGCCAGCCTCGTGTGCCGTGTTGGCACCCTGGGGCTTCACTGTTGCACTGCACGCGTGGGTGCTGGGAGGTCAGGGCCGCCCACCTTCCAGTCCAAGCCACAGTCAGAGCTCGTGCCGGGCAGCCCTCCTGGGCTCTTGGCTGTAGCTGGCCGTGCCAACCCTCGCACCACTCCCCTCTGCCACCCCCAGGTTGGGAGTTCTGCCTGCCCCGCCCCTGCCCCTCCACCAAGAGCATCTGCCCTCTGAGCGGCAGGTAGCGAGGTCATCACATGATGTGGCTCAGGGGACGCCACTCCCCGCGTGCGCCCAGGGCCGCCCTTCCCTCTCATCCTTGCGTCCCGTCCCCCTGGTCGGTGACACACGCAGGTGCTGTCAGCTGGGAGCCTGCCCGGGGTTGGCTGTGGTCGGTCGCAGTGAGGCTGCCGTTGGTGTCCTTGTGCTCCCAGTGCAGGAGCCGCTCCTGGCAGCCTCTGGCCTGGGAGCCCTGCCTCAGGCCGACAGCTTGCACATCAAGCCCAGGCCACGCACAGGAGTGGGGCCGGGCCAGGCCGTGGAAGGCATCCAGGAGTCCGGGCTGAGGAGGGGAAGGGGAGTCTGCCGGTCCCCCGGGAGCCTGCTGCCCCCCGGAGCACGGTGCACTGGGCACCTTCAGGGTCTGCACCAGCTCTCACTCTCCCGAGGGAGAGTTTACAGCAGAGATTGATCCCACATAGCAACAGTCACCCTGCTTTACAGGCCAAGCTGTTCACCCTCCTCGCTCAGTACCTGCCGGGGCGGGCAGCCGAGGTTGCAGGAAACTTTTACATCTCCCTGCGCTGTCCTCACACCCAGAAAATGGTCACCAGCGGCCACTCCCCGCACGTCCTACAGTGCAGGACACAGGGTTCTTGTGGGATCATCGCAGCCAGGGCTGAACTCGGAGTCTAAGGCCCTGCAGTTGGTGGCAGGCCTGGTCGAGCCTGGCAGCCCGCCTGCTGGCTCTGCACCATGGCTACAGCAGGCCGGGCTGTCCACGCCGAGGCTCGCCCGTCTCAGCTCCTGCCGTGAAGCCTGGCGGGCCTGAGGGACCTGAGGGCTTAACTGGGGCTGGTGCCTGATAGGGTCACTTTCTCTTCTAGGATAAAGATAAAGTCTCTCTGAGCAAGACCCCGAAGCTGGACCGCAGTGATGGAGGGAAGGAGGTGAGAGAGCGAGCCACCAAGCGCAAGCTGCCCTTCACCGTGGGGGCCAATGGGGAGCAGAAGGACTCGGACACAGGTACCTGCCCCCGTCCACGTAGCCACAGGAGGGCCGCTACACCCGGCCTCTGCAGCCGCCTGGGGTGAGGGCAGGAGGGCAGGGAGGGCAGGAGGCAAACCTCAGAGCCCTCCTCTCTGCCGAGGTCCCGGTGGATCTGCAGCGTTTAGGAAGCTTTACCCACAGAGACCCCTCGGGTGGTGGCCAGTCCCAGGTGTACACCTAGTCGCAGGCCCTGTGAGGCGCCCAGGCCTGCCCTGTTGGGTCCCCCGCACGTCCTTCTGGAAGGAAGCCCTGGGCTTCCTGCCATGACAGCATCTCAAGTGGGCTCCTGTCTGGGAGCTCCCACCTTCTTCCTGAGGGGGTGTGGCCCGAGGCTGAGCAGGGGTGTGCCCGTGTCAGTGAGGGCGGAGCCTGCATGGACTGAGCTGCTCCTGGCGGCCCTGCACCTGCTCTGCTGGTCTGTTCAGATGCTCTGGTCATCTGACTTGTCTGTCCCTGCAGGGGTGAGGGTGGAAGTGACAGGACACGCAGCTGGCCATGGAACCCAGGGCAAACCAGCAGACTTGCAGGGCCAGGCCCGGTCTCTGCCTTGGGCATCCTCCGGCTCCAGGGCTGCAACTGTAGGGCGAGGGGCAGAGGCTCGAACTCGCGTGGGGGCACAGCAGATACTTAGAGGGGTACGCATGGCACGAGGCCACCAAGAGGGGCTGTCCAGAGACGGCCGGCACCCTGTCACACCCCATGACGAGGGCTGGGGATCTGGTGGCAGCGCCTGCCCACCTCAGTATAGAAGTACCCTGGGCAAGCGTGCAGTGGCCAGGCGGTCAGCTGTCAGGCCAGCAGAGTGGGGGTATGAGGGAGGGAGTGCACGGCCGGCCTCAGCTCCTGTTCTTGGACCGACGCGTGTTGGACGGCCACTTCAGAGCTGTGGATGTGACAAGGGGCAAGACTGGACAGGGGGCCTGTCTCTCCAGTTGGCAGGGGAGGTCGCGGCACACGTTGACAGCCTCGTGACCTTAGCTCCTGCCCGCAGAGAGAGACTTGGGGAGGTGCTGCACACTTGGGCATTAGGCCACAGAAAGCAGAGCAGACCTGGCAGTCCCGTCCCCATGTTTGTACCGGGCCAGTTTTGGTTGAAGGAGGGGCTTATTATTAGCCTTTGGGACAGCGGCCACGTGGGGTCGGTAACAAATGTTGGCGAGGTCCCTACCGGCTCTTGAGGTTTGCTGTGACAATCCTGCTGAGTGGGTTCTCAGCAGGGCCCATGCCGCCTGCAGGTGCATGGAGGCCTCTCGCAGGGCCGGGCACTCCAGACCTCCACTGACAGTGGGACTTGGCAGGCCCGAGGCTCCTAGCCTGGCCGGTGCGTCCGAGTCTGCTCCGGCTCTCTGGCCTCCGGGATTCGGCCAGTGCTGAGCACTCACAAAACTGTATCTGGTTCTTCTTTTCTCTAAGGCACGCCCTGGGCGGGGGACGGGGCTAGTCACTGCGAGGAGTACAGTGAAGAGCAGTTGGAAAACCGTTTTCCAGGCAAGGGCTTGCTTCGAAGTACACACAGCTGTTTGCCCTCCAGGGTGCTGATTGTGTTTAAGACAGGGTCTCCTGTCTCAGCCCCAGCAGGTGGGGCTGCAGGTGCTTGCCACCATGCCCTGCCTTTCAGAAATCGCCGGTGTCGGTAGACCGTCCCTGTGGCACCTGGCCAGGGTAGTGAGCGGGCTCAGGCACAGGGTTCTGATGGCGGGAGGGCACCTCTGGTCCTAGAAGGTCGAGCTCCTAGCAGGAGCCCACGGGGTAAGGTTGCTCCAGCTTCACCCTGCCCCACCTGCATCCCCTCCTCACTGCTGCTGCGCTGGGGGCTCCTTCCAGACCACCAGGAAGCTTGCTCTGACAGGGATAAGGGGTAGATGTGGGAGGGAGAGGCTGGACAGTGGCAGGGGATGGCCCAGCCTGGAGCGAGGGCCTGAAGGCTCCGCTGAGGGACGATCCCGCTGCCGCACACGTGCCTCTGGCGCCCTCTTGCTGAGAAGGCCAGTGCTGTGCTCCTGCCGGGAAGAGGAACATGGCGGGTCCCCTGTCTGTGCCTGGTGTAGGAGGGGCTGGAGAGCCTCCTTGCAGGTTCTCCAGCTGCCTGGGGAAAGGCAGGGTCTGCATGGGCCAGCACCAGGCATGAGCTGTGTCAGGCCCTCGGTCGGCCGTGGCCTCCTCTGTCCGCTGTGCACCAGCAGGCCCTTGTGGACACTGGCCAGGAAAAGCAGGCAGCCGCAGGTGTAGCGGCCAGGGCGGTCAGACTCTGCCCAGATGGTGCGCCTTTGTTCTGGGCTCGGGACGACCCCTGTCGCCTGGGATCTGCTCATCCCCTCTGTTGCTTCAGGATTCGGGAACGCGCTGAGATTGGCGGGGGCTTGACCTCTCCGGGCCCCTGCACTGTGGACAGCTCCTCTTAAGAGGGCTTCTTCCTGTGGTCCGCCACCTGGCCGGGCCTGCTTCCATCGGAACTCGGGCCCAAGGAGGCCTGGAGGAGGGCTTGTCCCCTCAACCCAGCGTGTGATGGAGTGCAAGAGCAGAGCGTAGTTATTCACGCCAGGGCCTTGCCAGGGAGTTTGGGCCCGTAAGGGAGACGCTAGGAGGAGCCAGGCTGGAAACCACTGCCTGCGGGGTCGCCGGCCACCCCTGGAGGCTGGGAACTGGCCCCATGGCCACCCAGTATGCAGTGAGTCACGTCTCCTTGCTGCCACGACACGCTGTGCCTCGGGCTGGCCTCTTCTCCCGTGGGCGTGAGGGCGGGCAGTGGGCCCAGCGCCCAGGCGGTGGGACTCCTCGGACTCTGGCCTGTGCTTGTGGTCACAGGGCTTGGCCTGGGCAGGCAGCCCTGTGCGTGCAGAGCCACGGTTGGGGGTCAGCTCCAGCCCCGTGTCTCTGAAAGAAGGCAGGGCGTGTCAGCCGTGTGGTCTGTGGGAGTGGGTTGGGAACCCTGGAACCCGGTGGCGCCCATGCCTGGAGGGTGGCTAGTCCAGCTGGAAGAGCCCTCTGCAAGGCGCCTAGGCTGGCTCCCTCCTTCGTTGTGCCTGGGGCTCTGCCCTGCAGGACCCCAGGTTGCCACCCCACACCCGAGACCACGTCGGCCTTGCTCACTGCGGTGCAGGCTGGAGCTCTAGGACCAGAGGTTTCCGCTGTGCGACTCGGCAGGTCACTCGGGGTTCCACAGGTTCACCTCTCTTCCACCTGGACGGCCTTGGGCGGCAGCCCTGAGGTGGGTGCTCCTCCCCCAGCAGACACCAAGCGGTGGCTGGACAGGCAGGCCCGTGGCATCACCGAGCCAGGCTGCGAGATCTGGGGGCAGCTAGGTGGACGGGCAGCTTGAGCCCTAGCAGTGTGTGGTGAGGGTGTCGTCAGGACCTCCTGCCGGGTGGGCTATTAGGGGGCCACTCAGGGGTGCAGCACCTCCAACCTCACACCTTGTTTGTGGTCACTGCCGGGCTCAGTGGGGTGCACATGGCAGTAGCTGCAGGTGCTCATAGGATGCTGCGCTTACCGGAGAAAGTGGCATCTCGGGAGAGCTGACTTCACACTGGGTCAGGGAGAGGATTAGGGCCAGGCTCCTGCCGAGAGCTCCCCCCGGGGAGCCGCAGGGTGTCCACACCAACCTGAGCATGACTAGGAAGCTCTCCTAGGCCTTCAGCTCTTCCCAGGAGACCACCTGGCGGCGCCTGCCTGTCCTGCCCGGTCTGTACAGAGCCCGCGGGCACCTGAGACAGCAGGCCCGGCTGACAGCGGCTGGTCTGCTGGATGGGGCAAGGGCTGGTTGCGT